AGAGAGAGAGAGAGAGAGAGAGAGAGAGAGAGAGAGACTTACCCAGTTTAATGACTAGTATTACAGAAGACAGTTTCCTAAAGGATTCTAGTTTTATAGCAACATTTGAGATAATTGCTACATTTCAGTGTGTGGTGGCCACCCCAGCCCTTTACTTCCCTGCAGTTCTGAACTCTGTGCACACACACTCACACTTACGCACACACACCCTCTTATTAGATAGGTGAACATTTTTGTAAATGTGATATTTATGTAGACAACACACAAAACTTACCTTAACTGTGGCCTTAAATTCTGCCCATAAGTATATATATTGTGCTGAAATAGATTTTAAAATACAGTGGTTATCAAAACAATTTGGACACTTACAAAGCAAATTATTTGCATTTACTTTTCAAAAATTATTTTTATATAAAAATTTCCACTTCCTGGGCTGGTGAGATAGCTCAGCAATCTAAAGTGCCTGCTTAGGCAAGCCAGGGGACCTGGTTCAATCTGGGGCACCACATGCTGTGCCAACCCCACCCCCAGGGCAGGCTGAGCCAGCCATAAAAAAAAAAAAAAAAAATTACACTTCCAGAACAATAGGCTGCTGGGCCAGACACACCCTCCTGCTGGCTTTCTGCTGGGACCACTTGCCAGATCACAGGGCAGCACAGGATGAGTGTGTAGTCTTGCACACAGACACAAAAATGCACTAAGATTAGTAAACCAAATTTAGCATTGGACACAAACAGTAAAAGCACCTGAACAACTAGACCTTACTCCAGGCGTGGGAGATTACTTTAACAGCTGAGTCTCAGTTGGCCCACCGTAACCACACCTGAGACTTCTCAGAAGTCTGGACCACAGGGCTGATCACATGAACCCTGTAAACTTGCAGGAATGACCACATGGATGCCCTGCATACCCAAGCCCAGGAAGGCTCCCTGGTGGGTGACATGTCACATGTGTGGTCACACATTGCTGGGGAAATTCAAATTCAGTACATCCGGGCAACTCTGAGAGCACTGACCGCACGCACCAGTTCTCCTCCACACCTCGCTCACTCTACATGCCTTTTCCCTTTGCTGATTTCAGTCTCCATCTTTCACTGTAATTACAACCACAAGCATAACAACTTCTGAATGGGATGGAGTCTTATTACTAATCAGGAACCCTGAGGACAGTCCCAGGAACAGCAGGTATTAACCCAAAGGCTGTGAAATCTTGCAGAGAAAAATTAAAGAAGACTCAACAAGAGGAGATACAGGCTGTGTTTTGGGATTAGAAGACAATTTTGTTAAGACATCAATTTGCCTAAAATTGATTTACATATTGAACATAAACCCAGTTAAAATTTGGGAAGCCGTGTGTGTGTGTGTGTGTGTGTGTGTGTGTGTGTGTGTGTGTGTAGATCAATCAGTTGATCTTAAATTTAAATGGAAGAACTTAAGTAGCCAAAATAATTTTAAAGGAACAGCATAAAGGCATGAACTTACATGATCTGCTGTCTAGAGTATATATGAAACTATAATAATCTAAACAGTGTGGTACTTAGTATAAAGTTAGATTTTTAGAACAAAGGAATAGACCAATAAAATTGACTTTAAAAAGTCAATTGCTAGAGAGACTGGGCACGGTGGTGCGCGCCTGTAATCCCAGCTCTTGGGAGGCTGCAAATAGGCGGGGCACTGTGAGTCTGATCTAGTCGTGAGACCCTGAACACCCTGTAGACGCCTAAAATACAACAAATAAATAAATAAATAAATAAATAAATAAAAATTAAAAAAAAAGGTGCTAGATTAGTACAGTGATGAAAGCAGAGTCCTTTTAAAGACTGGTACTGTAACAACTAAAAGCAATTCCAAATGTCCTTTGGTTGCTGAATGGAAAAGCAAAATACATATGCACACAATGGACTGCTGCTGTGTAGTGATAATGAGAGGCAGACTAATTATCTAATTATTCGTGTCAGAACGGACTAGTACTTCCTAGGAAATGGCAGTGGGGTGGACAGTCACTCAAGGGACACACAAGACACTCTCAATGATAAAAAAAAATGGCTGTCTTGCTACAGTGGCAGTGGTCACAGTGGGTACATCGGTCAAAATTTGTTGAACTGAAGCACCTTTTGGTACACACAAAGTAATACAACCAGTTTAAGTGAATCAAAAAATGTATGCATCAAGAGGCTCCCTGATCTGCTCCTTACTGTGCTGCACGATCAGTTCCCAGGACAGGTCCTTCGCATTGTGTGTAAGGAAATCTTGTCCTTCCCTGTATTCTTCTGTGTCATTCTTCAAGTTGGAAATGCACTGGAAACAAAAGGGATGTGAGTGCAATTAGCAGTTCAGTCACTGGAGGTTACATACCCATGAAGTCATTCAGCAAACCCGGGTGAATTCCTTTTCCGCATCAGCAGCTCTGCTGCTGCAGGAGTAACTGTGGTGAACGCCCTTGCCAGGCTCCCACAGGGAAGACAGCAGAGGAACCTGCTTTCTGGTAAGCACATCAGCATCCAAATAAACATGACATTCTGAATGTAACCTGACACTAGAAAAACAGAAGGTGTCCAGGCTGACTTCGCCACGTCCACGACACAAACGCTCCTTATGTAACGCGTGTGCATCAGACATGATAAGGCTGGCATCCAGCGTAAATCTCCAGAGATGACCTACGAGGCCTGCAGACCCTAAGGAAGTGCCCAGTCAGATTAAGGTTTCATTGAGTTGGGTGAGGGTGGTAATAGTCTGGGTATAAACTCATTCTTTGTGTGTGTGTGTGTGTGTGGGTGTGTGGGTGTGGGTGTGGGTGTGTGGCCAGCGCAGCCTTTCCTGGGAGCAGAGCTGGCACGGCATGTAGTGCCGGCGATGGGACCACAGTCCCCATGGTTGCCTAAGCAGGTGCTTCAGCCCACTGAGCTATCTCAGCGGCCCTAAACTCGTTCTATAGATATATTCTATACCGGGTAGCTGGACATGGCAGTGCACGCCTGTAGTCCCAGGACTGGGAGGCGGAGGCAGGAGGATGGCAGAGAGTTCAAGGCCAGCCTGGGCTACAGTAGTAAGCCCAAGGCCAGCCTAAACTACACAGTGAGACCCTGTCTCAACACAAAGCAACCAGAGAAAACTCATCTGTGATATTAAGATGAGATGGGGGGTGGTTACCAACAAGGGGATAAAGAAGACATCTGGAGACTGATAGGTCAGGATTCAAAGTTTCCCAGGCACCCTGCCCCAAACACTCTCCCTCTTGGTTTCCCAGGCACCTTGTCCCCAAATGCACTCCCCCTTGGCCCCATGCAGAGCCAAGCCCAAAACCCCAGAATAGGTCCACCTGACTTTGACCTGGACACGCAACCACAAAACTCTTGTTAGCATCAAAAGTCCCCCCTAGACCAGGGAGCCCTGCCAAGATTAGCTCTCCCTTGGCTGTTCCAGCCCACAGCCCCCTCCCCATTCCTTAAAAGCCCTGTGCTTTGCCTTGTTCACTGCTCTTTGGTCCACTAAGCAGCCGGCCTGCTTGCTGCAATACATCTTCTACTTGCATCAGAATGCCTGGTGTGATGGATTGCCTGGGTTCATACCTCACAGATACTATGAATGTCTGTTCTCATCTTTTCTGATGACTGTTATTGATCAAGCCAATCAACAAAACCCATTTTGCAAAGTGAAGTGTTCTTGAACTTACTTCTTTTAATCTTTTATTTTCCAGAAGCAAAAGCTCTGCTTTTTGGTCATGTAAATATACTTCATTTTCTAAGTTCTTTAGAATTTCAAAATGTTCTTTCATTTTCTGGCTTTCAAGATCTCGGACTTCTTTCAGTTCTTCCTTCACTCTCTCCTGCTCCAACGTAAAAGCCACAGTTACCTCATGGGGTTCAAAGAGTAGTACAACAAGTATAAGACTGCTTAATCAAAGTCAGAGAAGGCGCCGCGTTAGCTCTGGAACCATCCAGCTGAGAATGAGGACATCGTCCCTTAGGAAAACTTACAAGCCGCTAAGCTCATTCATGAAACTTAATTTATGGATTCTAGGGAGGAGCCTGCAGATCCCATATTAAGTAGCCCAGGCACATAATTTCACAAAATTGAATATATTTTGATCTATATAAACACTGTCTGAAAAATGTGGGAGGAAATTGTTGAGGCTTATTTTAAGGAGAATTAAAAATATCTCTAACAAGAAAAAAGAACAGTTTTATGTGTTTAAAAATATTCTCCACTGTTTTCTCTCCAGGATTATCTATTCAGATTGTACTGTGATAAACCACATCTTTCTTCCTTGCATAATCTGCACTAGCAGCATCTAATTAAGCAACAGGACCATATATACTATATCTACTTATAATTTTCTTTTTCATATTAAATCCTGCATCTTAAAAAGTAAGATTTTTTTCATTTTAAATTATCCAGCTCCACATATGCACCTCATCATGATCTGTCAATACATACTTTAAAATGCAATGAACACCTCACTAGTTGTCTCTGTTTTGTCACTTCCACTCCCCCATGCACCCACTCCTCCTTCAAAAGCTTAATCCAGCCATGAGTTCATGAACAAGGAAAGGGCATTTCCCTCGGGGTTTTTCCTATCATCACCTGGGAGTGGTTCCAGAGTTCTGCCTCATTCACCCATCCCACAGATAGGGTGACCAAAATTTAAAAACACTAGCACTGAACAAGGAATTTTAACAGCTCTGGATTTCATGATAACTCCAATGGTCCTGTGTAAATAAGGGCTGGCTGTACATAGTAGTATTCTAATAAAAAAATGAAGGTGTCAACTCATTACCAAGTTTTCAACATATCTTGAAAAGTCCCTTGTAACGTAAGAAATATAATTCTTCAGCATAATCTCCTCCTGTCTTTGTGCTATTAAAAAAGAAAGAGAAATAACTATCCACAATGCTCCTGGGCTACCAGTCATTAATCAAAGCAAGACACATGCTTAGTTTTAAGTCAACTAATACTATAAAACATGGCTCTAACAAAACCCAAACACCAGTGCTCCATCTGTCCCTGTGTCCAAGTCCTCAGAATCATTATTTAAAAAATGTTTACAGTTGTTTGTCCTTCTATGTAGCACAATGTTCTTAAAATATATACTTGTACGGCTATTTATTTATTATTTTGAGACACCTCTATTTACTTGTTACTATTGTAAAGGAAGACTTAGAAGGCTTTCACCCATCCCCAAGTCCCTGCCCACACCCATAACCTTGCAGTCTCCCACTCAACCTCCTCATAAAGGTATTATTTTTGTTAAACAAATTATAACTGTTCATATTACTGTGACAAGATAAGGCTTTCTCATGGGTAAACTAAATGGTATATATTTTTGGATTTGCCTGAATTACCTCACTACAAAATATGCTCATACATACATCATTAATTAACAACTAAACGGAATTGTACAATCTTTCTGAATATTCCTTCCCTTCACTATAGCTTCCTAAGGGTCTCGGGGGCTCTGGTGTTGAAGGCTTCACCCTCAGGCTAAGTGCTATTGGGTGGTTATGGAACCTTAAGAGGCAGAGCCTGGTGGGAGGCCCTCAGCTCACTGGGGGAGCTCTTGAAGGGCATGGTGGGACCCAGCTTCTTCTTCCCCTTCTTTGTTTTCTGGTTTATGGAGAAGAAAGTTTATTCCACTGTTCTCTCCTGCCACTGCCATGCAGTACTCCCAAGGGAGGACCACAGCAATACATTGGCTTGGCCTTGAACTGGAACTCCAGAACTGCAAACCAAAATATCCTTTTCTTTTTATAAGGGAACTCTCTCAGCAATTCCATTAGAGTTTGGGGCGGGTGAAGCTGACTAATACATGCTCAGCCAGACACAGTAGCGAGTGCCAGGCTGGCTTCTGCACCTCTGAGTGCTCCTTCCAGAGCCCTTGCTCTGTACCACAGCTTCACACAGACCTCCTTGACTTGCCTTCTGCCTCTCTCCTCTCTTGGACTTCCTGCTTCCTGAGTCTCATATCCTCTTTATTTTCTTGATTTGTTCCACTTATGAAAGAAAATTTTATAGTAGGTTCATGAAAAAGGGTAAAGAAGATGTTTTGGGGTTTTATACATCTCTTCTAGGCTTACATTTGATTGATAGTGAGGGTTTGTTCTCTGTGTTGGGGATTTTATTTACTTCAGAATATGAAGTCTTTCAAGTTTTAGTCAGATTTTTCTGTCAGGAAAGAAGATGTACTTTTTCACAATTATCTTAAGACAACTTTATTTTTCTATTAATTTTATTGAGAAACAAATAGCAAAGAGCCAGTTTCAAAATAAGTTAGTAGGGGCCAGGGAGATGGCTCAGTGGAATAAGCGCTTCCCTGGCAAGTGCAAGGGCCTGAGTTCAATCCCTGGTTCCGAAAAACAAAACAAAACAAAACAAAATCAAAATAAGTTAGTAGGACAGTTACAATAATTAATACATTGCATATTGTTGTCTTCATAGTAGTTATTCATAGTGTAAGACGCAGACATGATATGCTGTTCAAACACTATTAGTACAAATGTTTCTTCTCATTGAATTAAGAGAAAGTAGCTGTATATCTATCCTAACTATTTTGTATATACAAAATTTGTGTAATACTGGGGCCATGCTTGGAATACCTCTCACTCTGGTCTTCTAAATACGTACTGCTTCTAATACCATATCAATTACTACTATACTGTCTCTCAAGTAAATATTTGTTTATAAAAAAAAAGGAGGGGTTAATAAGTGAAAACAAGAGACAAGAAAAAAAAAGTCATAGGACTGTCCTGCTACAGTGCTGTATATGGTGAGATTTCTAAATTTCTCTGAGAAGATGTATTTGTGTGTTTCTAAAAGCCACAGCATCATTCTTTGTGTTAACTGAGCCCCTCTGTGTGTTGCCTGTAAGTGGAACGCCTGACAAGAGGCCTTTCCCACACACTGACTCTTGCCACTTTTATGTTGTGTTTTTTTCTTTTCTCCTATCTTTCCTTCTCTGCTTTCTTCAGCACTTTTTCTCTCATTTATTTACCTTAAGAGATGTGATATACAAGGAGTGTTTGAAAACCATGGTGACTGTTTAATTTTTTATTTTATTTATTTATTTTTTTGGTGTAAGGGATTGAACTCAGGATCTTGCATTTGCCAGGCAGGTGCTTAAGCCACTGAGCTATCTCCCTGGCCCTTAAATTTTAAACATCATTATAGTAAAAGCCACACGACCATCAGTCCCCCTCAAACTCTCCCTGTTACTTCGAACACACTTGTCCTAGTGTTCGGGCCACCTCCTGAAGCAGTTCTGGAGTCCTCTTTTGTGTCTTTCTTGAGTTGTCCGGGTTCCCTCAATGTCCTGAGCCCATTCAAAACATGTACCCTTCATGGTCACTTTGACTTTGGGGACAAGCCACAAGTTCCAAGGTGCCAGATTTGGAAAACAAGATGAAAGACAGCACACCATCATGTTTCCATGAACTTGTCTCCCCACCAGACAGCACTCAGTAGCAGCATTCACTGTATATATATTTTTAAAGTCACACCTATTAAAGACACTCAGAAAAGAGGACCTCCAGAACCAGTTCACAAGTGGCGAGAATGGGATCAGGGCATGTGAGGTAAGGGGATATTTTGGAGGAGACTAATGGCAATGTGTTCTTAGCAAAATAATTTTTAAAAATTTAATCACTCATCGTGTCCTGTGATGGCTCCCGGTACTGCTCACTTTTATGTTCATCATGTTTCTTAAATCCTCTACCATGGACAGAAGTGGACAGCAGTGAAGGCAGAAACTGGGGTGAGCTCCATGCATATTTAGGATCTAGGTAGAGTTCTCAGGCAGTGTACTTAGGGTGACAAAATGAACACCTTGCAAAAAGCAGAAAATTAGCTACCAAGGTGGAACCAGACTGATTACCCACATACTTACTATTATAATATTCTTTAAAAATGTTCCTTTCTTCTCATACTCTCGTTTGTCTTCAGAACATATAAATCTTTCACCTTTTAAAAATGTACCTTTCTTGACCATAATAATCACTTCATTTTTAAGTACTTGTTCCTTTTATAATTGGACAGCCTGGGCTTCTATATAGTGCTCCCCTCTGTTCTTTAAATTTATGTATTTGGCACAGGATCTCACTACACAGCTTGGACTCATAGGCATCCTCCTGTTCCCAGCCTCCCCAGAGCCAGGATTACAGGCGTGCACCGCCACACCTGGACTCAATCACTGGCTCAAGCGCACCCAGCGGTGGAGCTGTGCAGCTTTTGGTACTGGGAATCGAACCCTGATCCATGTGTTTGCCTAAGTAGATGCTCAATCCACTGAGCTATCTTGCTGGCTCTAGTGGCCCACTTCAATACAAACTTTTTAAATTCTTATTCTCATATTCCTCTTTGCTAGGTGGTCATTTCTACCTCTACACTAGTGGGTATCTTTTGCTCCCACACTAGTCTTTTCTGTAAAATTTATTCCTGGTTTTCCAATTCCCATGGTCTGCTTTTGTCATTTAGGACATACAAGATCTGGAAGTGGCTCCTGCTTTTTGACTTGCACTGACTTCCTGGAAAATGATCTTCTACTCCCTAACTGCAAGAATAACTCAAATTTCTGGGATGATTTTGAACCAGAAATATAGGATTAGATGACCTCATCAAGTTTTGTGGAGAAGTAATTATTTTTATATTAAACCTACACATGCTGGCAAGTGAAGGGTCCTGAGTTCAATCCCTGGTACCACAAAAAAAAAAAAAGAAGAAAAAAGAAAACAAAAACCTACACATGGTTATGTCATGTCGCAGAATGGGAAAAAAAGCCCTTAGATATAAGAGTATTTTCTATCTTCACTTCAGCTTCCAGATCTGAGATAAACCTTAAAATGGGAGTAGGACAGTTAGAAAAGAATCTGAGGTAACAGCCACTTGATAAATGGTTAAAGTCTTAGATAGAAAGGAGATATAATTAGTAAGTTCATGGTTAAAGGTAGAAAAACTTCTCCGTGTGGTAGCTGATCCAGGAGTTAGCTCTACCTTTGCTAAATCAGAGAACACAACATTCCGAACTACTAATTTTTTTTTTTTTTACTGATAAATTTTTTTTATTTTGCTTTTGAAATTTTACACTTTTCCTGATTATTCTGTGTAAGGGGAAACTAGAACCACTTAAAAGACATACACAAATCTAGTACATCAGTAATGGGGATTTTCCTCTTTTGCTATACTATTTCATAACCCCAGGCGTGCTTGCTAGGTAATACAACCATCACAGAAGCAACCGTTAGGCAGAATACTTTTTTTTTTTTTTTTGCGGAACTGGGGTTTGAACTCAGGCCCTTGCACTTGCCAGGGAAACGCTTATTCCACTGAGACATCTCCCCGGCCCCTAGGCAGAATACTGGTAAGGAGAAACAAAGCAAAGAGCTGCCAGATACACAGACAGGCTTGGTTCCACATTCACTACTGCGTCTTCAAGTGCCAAGGATTAACTGCATGTTTTTTGAAATCCTAATTCTTAATCATCAATAGCCTTTAAGAGAACAGGGAAAACTTAATAAAGGCAATGGTAAGGTTGTGGTGTGGAGAACGAAACCACCAGCTAAAGGTACAGGGACAGGGGGTGAGCATCACCGACGCTGTCCCCGAGGACCCCGCGCCCCCACATTGGAAGCAAGCTCGGGAGGAAGGTGGCTCCCATGGGCCCCACACGCACCGGTAAGAATCCTGCTGAGCTCTTGGAGCTTCCTGTGTTTTACTGTGTACTCTTCTTCTGCTGTATGAAGGTGTGGAAGCCTATCATGAAGCTCTTCTTCTGTTTCTTTGCTAATTTTCTTTTCCTTAAAAATTAAATCCTTTAAAGAAAATAAAGCTAGTTGAGAACTGGTTGTGGAGAATTTTCCCAACAACGCGAATCGAGTAGAAGTTCTCCGCAGGGGAGCGTTCTGTCTTCTACCGTGAGGCCGACGGACTAGTGTCTGGCACATGCTGGCTGCTGAGCAAATGCTCACTGTCCTGCTGACTTGACTGTCTGCCAGTCTGTGCCCTACAGAGGTAGGACTCAGTACCCACCTTTCCACAGATCCTTTCAGTTCCATATCTCTAGTTTTGTATTTCTGTTGCTACCATGTACACAACCAAAAACATACCTGAGGAAAATTTCCTTTGATTGGTCATACTTTATGAAAAAGGTGTCCAAAGAATTCAAGATTTTTAAAACATGGATGTAAGTGAAAATGGGGCAGAGACAGAAATAACGAGATATATTACAATAAAAAGTGATGTGGTCCTTTCGCAAGGCGTTCAGTGTTGTGCTCGGCATGCCTGCAACCTCTTGGCCTCCTCACAGTCCATTCCCTCCTCCTTCCCCAGGACTGTCCTGTTCACCCCAGGCTGGCTTTTGGAAGCTCCCAAAGCAGCATGAGGCCTTCTTTTGATGGAGGCCCAGCCTGTGGGGTTCCTCGCCGTCTGGTACCCCATTACCCTCTCAGTTTTCTCACACGAGCTCCCAGAGCCCCTGCAAGGTGCCACGGGCCACTGCCTGCAGCACAAATCTGAAGTTCTACATCAAATGAAGTCTGTGGCCTTGTCCATTATGCCAAACTATTTCTTGTTGTTCTATTTGTACTCCTTCAGGTAAAGAAGAGGAGAGACTCCAATAAAATTGTACCCTTGTCCATACTGGAAGATGAACTGACACTTAACTGGTCAGAAGTATGTAGTCATCCTAAGTTATCCTTAGATATAAAATAAAAATTACCTCATACATGCTCAACTCATGAATTAACTCTTTTTCCTGGTTTATAAATTCCTTCTCTTCTTCTTGTAATTGTGCTGCAATTTGTTCGATCTGTACCATAAATTCATTGATCTCCATTTCTCTAAGTTTGGTCTAATTAAAAAAATGAGGAATTTTTGTAAGTTTCTCTGTGGGGTTCGGCTTTATGTTTTCAATCAGTTGGATAAATCAGGATGTCCTCACGTGGGACACCCTTGTGATTTCAGGTTGTACAATTTCGCCGTACTACTGAGGAGGATTTCTTTTCTCTTTCCAGAAATTGAGTTGTTCACCAAACAATAAGTATAAATGACATGAAAGATGGGAGGAAAGAAACATGGTAGAGAGACAAAGAGAAAATAGGGACTAGCCAGTGTAGGGTAGGCTCATATCTTTAGAGACAGCTCCCTTAAAGGCCAACATCAAATACATGGCGGGTACAGGCTTTAAAAACATTCTGGAAAGAATTGTTACTTAAATTTCTAAATACATCTAGTTTCTAAATGCATCTAAGTTTCTAAATACAGCAAATGGATGTATTTCTGAAGAAAGTCAAACAACTCGTTCTAAATTTGAAGTCAGCAGAAAGGAGAGTAGCTTTTATAAAATACAACATAATTAAATATTGAAAGAGACTCACTGCTATGCAATGCAGGAATGTACAGTAATTCTAAATGTCACATGGCATCCCTTACCTCTTCCAACAGTTCACTTCGCCTATGCTCTGCATGTTCAATTTTACCTCCAATTGTTTCTATTTCATCTGATTTCTGGATGAGCCATTGTGCATGCTGTTTTCTCAAGCAAGCTACTTTCCATTGCGTTATAACACTACGAGATTAGAACAAAAAGAATTATGATCAAATGACACAGTAGTTTAACAAAAAGAAGAAATTCAAAGTAAAGCAAGTCCTGGTATCATTTTACAAAACCACTGGTGCCACTGGAGATGCTGACTACACATAACTGAAACAGAAGAGCGCAACATGAACTTTCCCTCAATGCTGCATCTGCAAGCTGCTTTCTAGGGAGATCCTGGGACAGGCCACAGGGTGGGAGCTTGCTACCCGAGGCGAGGATGGGCAGAGCCCTTGGGGATGGGCACAGAAAGAAGAGGTGTGGGCAGAAACACTAACGGAATTATCCAAATTACCCAAAGTGCTGGTAAGAGATCTGAAGCTTGTGGGTTCTCAACCTGTTTTTTCCTGCACAACACACACACACACACACACACACACACACACACACACCCCTCATACATATTTAATAACCTGAACAAGAACAATACTAAAAAAGTGCACTAGGTATTGGCAGCGCTTCCTTGGTGTACGTGATCCGCAGGCTTCGCACGGGTCATCTCTGACCTTAACAACAGCTTCACAAGGTAGCTGCTATGACTGGTCCCTGCTTCAGAGGGTGGAGCAAAGAGACGGGGTCACCGGGCCTCCGTGGAGACAGGGCAACAGCGCAGCCCGTGTGCAGAGACTGCAGTGCTAATGGTGGGGTTCTGCCTCCACCGTGTCACTCCTTCTCCCACCCACGGTCCCCACAGAGGCCTCGGTGAGTGGCCAGGCACTGCAAGAACACGAGCAGGTAGAGCCTCGTGTGATTCTCTTCTATTGCAATAGAGACCTTTGGCTTTGTCCAATGCCAAAAATCATGCCATCAACCACATCTAGACCTGAGGGAACACACAATTTTATTTAGGAAAATTGTTTCTATTGGCTCTAGATAACATACACTATAAAATAACACAAATTAATATATGTCTTACCATCTCTGATTTTCTCTTTCCAGGTTATCACTATGAATTTTTACTTGTTTTTCAAATACATCTTTTATTGCTCTAAAAAACAAGAAAAAGAGATTGGATTTGGGATGTGCAGGAGCTGTTCAAATATATCAGAGACTGCTAGTGTGTAATTCTTAGGTTCAGAAGGCTACAAGGAAATTGGAAGACCAAACAAAAGCTGAGAAACACCTGGAGGTTTCAGCGGCATGATTACCGAAGGACTGCAGCTCGGAGCAGGAAAAGCTGACCTCACAAGCCCCAGAGGTCCACGCTGACCGAGGAAGAAAGCACACGGCCGAGCTGAGCTGCAGCCTCGCAAGGGAAGGCGTCCTTGCTGCAGAGAAGCAGAGCAAAGGAGCACAAAGGCAGGGCTACGCCACGACGCAAAGCAGGGGTGCAGCATACAGAGGGAGGGAAGGGAGGAGCAGCACTATGCTGAGGAGGAGGTAGGGTCAGCCACTGGCCGAACACTCTGGACACTGCATTTTTATAAAATTATGTATTTAGTATAGAGTGTACAGGGTCTCACTACACACATTGGACTCATAGTGATCCTCCTGTTTTCAGCCTCCCAAGCGCTAGGATTACAGGCATGTGCCACCATGCCCAGCCTCAGTCTCAATCTCAGTGCGCCCCGGGGGCAGGGCAGGCACAACATGTGGTGCTGGGGATTGAACTCCAGTCCCTGCCACTGCCTAAGCAGGTGTTTTAATCTGCTGAGCTATCTGGCTAGCCCTACATTGTTTTAATTTGACACAGAATTCAGAAGACTGGGGCTGAGGAGAGATAGCTTGGTGGTCTAAATGCTTGCCTGCCTGGCAAGTGTAAAGATCTGGGTTCAATTCCCGGTACTGTACGCTATGCCTTGTAGGCCCCTAACCCTGGGCCCGCCATGGAGGCCATCGAAAACCAGGCGTGGTGGTGCATGCCTGTAAGCCCAGCACTGGGGAGGCTGAGACAGGAGGATCACTAGAAGTCCGAACAGTGTAGCAAAACCCTGTACCAAATAAATAAAGGTAAAAAAAATAACAATACAAATAAAATAATCAGAAGAACAAAGTAGATTGCTGAGTGAAGGTAGAGTAGTAATTAAGGACGGATGATTTTCTCGTGATAGGAGGGCCAACCAAATAGCTCAACAGCTATTAAAGCGCCTGCAAGCAGGCGCAGGGGCCTGGGGTGTGCTGAAATGGCAATTGATACTGGGCATGGTGGTGTGCACCTATAATCCCAGCTCTTGGGAGGCTGTAAACAGGCAGATCACTACTCTAGTCTAGTAGTGAGACTCTGAATATCCTGTAGACCCTTCCCTAAAATACAAAAAAAAAAAAAAAAAAAAAAAAAAAAAAAGAATGGACACGTGGGTGTAGATAACCGAAGTCCTTATTTTTATTCCTCTTCTCTCAGTTAAGTGTTCCATGCACACAAACAAATCGAAAGCCACATAAGTAAAAGGCTACTTTCTATTTTCTGAAAGATAGAAAAACTCATGCGTGGAACTTACAGTATTACAATGCAATTATGTAAACTGTTGAAGGCCAGAAATATTCACGGATGAAATGAAACAAAACGCTGTCAAGTGAACAAGAAACACACCAAACCAGCTGAGCTCTGGTTTCTGTCTCTGCTTGAAATCCCAGCTGTGGATCTCAGCTCCCTCTGCTGCCCTCCTCTCAGTGTCCAAGGTTTCCACAACTTTCTCCCAATGGTTTTGTTTGCTCATATGCTTATTATACGCAAAAAATGTTTGAACCCATTTAAAATACAGCAGCTGTGACACAAACACCTTCTAAAGGGCTAACAGTGCCACGCCACAAGCTACCTACACACTTGCTGACGGCCTGAGCACTAATGATGTCACCGCTGGTGCTAAAATTTGCATTATTCCTGAGGAAAACACAACTGGATTTAACCCAGTTCCAGTTCCGTTTTCCCTGCTGGTGTGCGTGTGTGTGTGTGTGTGTGTGTGTGTGTGCGCGTGCACGTGTGTTTTAAGACGGGGTCTAGCTATGTAGTTCAGGCTGCCTTGCACTCATTATGCGTCCAGACTGGCCTTAAGCAACCCTCCTGCCGCAGCCTCCTGAGTGCTGTGATGGCAGGTGTGTGCCACTACACCCGGCCATTTTCCTGGTCTTTAAGGGGAGCAGTTCATACGTCTCTAAAACTGATATAATGAGAACTAGCTGTGCAGATGTATTATTGAAGGGTCAGCGAGATGGCTCAGAGATCTGAGCACCTACCTGGCAGGCGCAAGGACCCGAGTTCTATCCTTAGTACCACGTGCTGTGCCAGCTCCCCCAGGCCTGCTATGTGGGCCTCCAAATCTGTGTGTGGAGGTGCATGCCTATAATCCCAGCACTGGGGAGGCTGAGACAGGA